GCCCCCTAGTAGCGGCTTCAGGAGAAGATATTAATCAATGTCAAAGCGATAGTTGCGCAAAGATGCTTGTCAAAATTCAAGTGTTGGGTGCACAAGCGTGGAGTGGGATGCTGCAGCGCGCAGGTATGACGGAGGATTCGTCGCGAAACACGAAGCTTCAGTCCGCGGAGGTCGTATACAGGTTGCTCCTGTGGACGCGCTTGAATGCGACGCGTGGCAAGTGATGCCAGAATCCTGGGAGAGATTGCAACACTGCACCTCCCTCCATGAAGGTGTCGAGCTCTTGATGCGCTGCTATCGCGTCGATCGCCTGCGTGAGGTCAGTTGTTGGAATCGCAAAACTTTGTGCTACCGACCTATTTCCACATGTGTAATCCAGTTGCGTTGGTGTGCGACGTGCCTCAGGCCAATCCTGGTCTTACGAAAGTTTGGTTCCGGTGCACAGGACTGGCGTTGTACGCTTAGGCTGATCACCCGCCCACAGCCAAACGTAAAATGACATTCCCTGGGTGAACAGTACCTCCTTTACAGTACAGCGACTATCAACTAGTGTACAAACAAGCTGACGTTTATTGGGATTTACCCCACGTAATTTTGATAAACCGCCGGCATTCAATAGTGAGAAAGCTCTTTCATATCATGCGTTTGCGCTACCAGAGGTCGTCTGAGCGCGTGCAGTGAGTCTGTAGATTTTGAGTTCGCCAATTGCCTCTGCAAATGCTCCGATAGTAGGAGGGTCCCTGTGCTCGGTGTCGAGTTTGAAGAGAAGATTGTAGCGACCTCGAGCATACTGCGCATGCTTGCTAGTGGTGCCGTTATCCGTGACGATTCAGTCAAAGTGTGAGCTTGTGGCGAGACGTTGACATCTCCGCCACAATGCGCATTCAATGGCCTGATGCAGAACATGCGAAGCGCTGATGGCTTTCTTAGTATCGCCCTGCCTTTGATGAGTAGTTTCAGAATCTCTGTAACAGCTATGATGTGCTCGGGCCGGAGTTTTAGCTCTAGCGCGCCGTTTCACTCGAGGATCGCCGAAACAGGACACACGGATGACACTTTGGAAAAGGCCATATATGATCGATGCAATGCGAGGCGAGGTCTTCGTAGGCTACTTAGGGCGACCAGCCTTTTCGTCTTGTCGCCGGCCGACCGCGGGAGGATGCTATGGGCGTGCCGGTCTTGATGCGAATCGCGACGAACGATCGAACAACGCCCAGATATCAGACGGTGGCCTGAAAGAAGCGCGAACAGTATATGATGAGCAAGCGTCGCTTTCACACAGCTGCTCACTTCGGACTGGCTGCCCAGGTGGTCTTGATCGCGCGTGGGTGGGCAAGTTTGCTCCAGACGAGCGCAGCGGGACCACCGGAACCTTCTGAAAGTTCGTATGGGCGAGAAGGTATTTCCAAGGTCGCAATGATATCCAGAGTAAAGAGCAGGGCAGTAGAGCGACTCCCCAGGTTTGTTGACGGGTTGCTGGGTGGGAAGGTAAGGAGATGGAGGAACTTCCGAACCCTGCGCAAGCTACGGAACCTTGAGGCAGGGGCAAATTTCCACGATCGTTAGCGAGCCGCCGCCGGATATCGATTTGGGTACGTGGAGATCACGCCAAGAGCTAAAGTTGTCGGATTCGAAATAGTACCATTGCTTCTGTTGAAGCTAAAGCAGACTTCATGATTGAGTGTTGAGTTAGCTGCACCTTCACGGAGTTGCGCCCTAAATGAATGCATGTCGCCCATACTAGTGCCTCAAATGTAGTTGTTAGACGTTGTCGACTGAAAGGCGTCAATTGCAAGGGACGACCGGTTGTCTGTCGCTGTAGACGGAGAAGCCTTTGTTCTTTGCGAGTATTGTTTTGATGTTCGGCTTCGACGAGAATTGCTGCCCAGGTACGATGTGCCAAGACGATGTGCCAAGACGACGCTAGTGCCTCCCGAGGTCCCGCGCCAGGGGCATTGCGGGTTTCGCTCGTACGCAAGCTTCTATCCTCACATCCCCCACGAGCCAGCAGCGCGCACGGCATCCCACGTGCATGTTCTGGACTGCGAGGCTCTGCAAGTTGCAGGGCTAGATCGAAAACTCAAGGGCGCCCCTCAACGTCGGCAGCAGGAGTGGTATGTTTCTCGACGTGTGGCTTGAGAACCACCAAAACTACGCTAGGTTGGGACTGAACGAGTCAAGTGGCTCGTCAGGACTTACCTTCTTGTGGTACTCAAGCAGCCTATTTCGATATGTGGCACGATCTTGCTCGGTTCACTCAGCTACGCCTCGAGAAAGCCATGATGTTTGCATGCTTCAGCTGCGGCGACTCCGCCCTCCATGGCGTAAACTTGTTTGGATCGTAGTCAGGACGAACTCTTGCAAGGCCTCATCATGAATATATAAAGATCCATAAAGGCACAGGAAGTATAGTCAGCAGCAGCAGCAGCAGCCTCTTCACTCATTCACTCACCCGCTCAGTCACTCTTTACGCTCGAGCAACCCACTATCTTTAATAATGAGGTACTCATACGTTTTTTCTGCCGTTGCGGCCTTCGCCGTGGTAGGAGCTCAAGACATCGACTTCGCTGGAGTTGATGCTACGCCTGGTATGAGCTCTTCCGATGAAAGACTGGTATCATACTAACTAGAGATAGACCCAGTAATCAACATTATTCCCGGCTTGAAGGAACAAGCAGTTCCTTTCGAAGTAACTGAGGCTATTGCGGATGTCGTCTCCGAGGTCGTCGCTGATCCTCTCGATGTCAAGCCTGTGTCTGAGCCTTTGGCCGTACCGGAGATCAAGAAGCATCTGAGGCGTGGGGCCTGCGACCCTGAGCCCAGCAACCCCAACACTTATGGCTTCGACCTGTCATCTGCCAGCAAGTTCCGCGCCGATACCAAGATTGCATCTGTAGCCAAGGATGCTTCCACACCCTCTGGGTACTTCAACACCTTCACCAACTTGCAAGGTGCCAGCAGTGCCTACGGGTACCTTGGCTACAAGGTAGTCGAGACCTACGACCCCTCTCACTGCGCATCTGAGTGTAACTCCAAGGATGGGTGTCTCGGTTTCAACATCTATGTTGAGCGCGACCCTTCGGCAAACCCAGGACCTGACTGCCGAGACCCCGAAGCTGTTGCCAACATCAAGTGCTCATTCTGGGGCGGACCAGTCTACACCGACACTGCCAACAACAACGGCCAGTGGCGAGAACAGTTTGAAGTCGCCATCGCTGGAAGCAACGGCTACTCGTCTCTCACAACACAGTCTGCTGAGGGCTACAAGCAGGTCGAGCTCAAGAACAGTGCAATCAACTCTCCTCTCGACTGCAACAAGCAAGGCTCCTACATGGGTTACAAGCTCTTCGTCCAGCCCGCATTCGATGCCAAGCTCTGTGCAGCTGCCTGCAAGGAGCAGAACAAATGGGCAACTGAACACCCACCTGCCGATGGTAAGCCACAGTTGTGCCGCTACTTCAACACCTACATTTTGCTCAAGAACGGCGTCTCTCAGGGCCAATACTGCTCCATGTACACTCAGGAGTGGGATGCTTCCTTTGCTACGAATGATGGACAATACCGCGGCGACGACCACTACACTATCCAGTACAGCTTTGGTTTCACTGATGAGAGCGACGATGGTGTACCTGTCTGTCCCAGCGACGTTTCTTACCTCAAGTCCAGCGGCGAGGAATTCTGCAGCAGCTACATCGGCTACTCCCAGCCGACTACAACTTCAACCGCCATCGCTACCATCACACCAGCTCCACAGACTGCTACAATCACAAGGACTGTGACAAGCACCTCCACCTCTGGAGTCGCCATCGTTACTGCCGCCAAGTTCAATGGAAGACACGCCAGACGTGCGGATAACAGCACCGAAGTGACCAATGACGTCGTTGTCGACCCTTACGAGATCGCAATCGTGGCCGTCAAGACCCTCTCTCACGATGATGACCCAAGCATCCCAAAGCTCAACGACACCATGGCAGCAGAGCTCAACAGGGCCGTTGAGAAGCGTGACCTCGCAGCACCGGCTTCCATCGCAGCTTGGCCCACCAGCAAGATCTCAGCAGCTTGCTCTCAGGTCGCCACCGGCACCGCCACAACCACTCAAACCATCACTACTACTGCCGCGACCTCATTTGCGACCGAGACAAAGGACTTCCAGACCATCGTTGTCGTCCAAAGCACCTGCAACGTTCCCGCACCCAGACCAACAGCCCCTTCTTACACTAGGATCGCTGGTGGCGACCCATCAGAGGGCGTGCCCATGGTACCCGGCCCCGCAGACCGCCCCTACTTCAACGAATACTTCACCCTCAACCTGCCTTTCGCTGTCAAGATCTTCCAAACCTCATCCACGCAGATCGGCATCACTACCGGGGGTGTCATCACAGTGGGAGATTACGTGTTCAATGCTTTCGCAGAGCAATTCTACATCTACGGAGGCTGGAGACACGGTATGTTCTACCGTGTTGATGGCGATATTGGCGCTCGCAAGATCCACTTCTCCTGGTTTGCGGGTACTATTATGTGGGGTCATGAGCGCTTCCACGTTACGGCCATGTTCGACGAGGCTAAGCCTGGTGTTCTCACCACTAAGGTCTTCGACACTGTAGGCCAAATTGATAACAGACGCACCATCTCTGTTGAGGGTGCCGGCAAGAACGTCGTCTTCGCTCAGTGGGGATCCACCAACGTCCACGAAGGCCAGGAAATTACTTTCGATACTACCGGTGCTGGAAGTGTCTCTGCCAAGGACTTCGATCGCATCGACTGCTGTACGAAGACAGGCTGGGAGTGGCATGTATGCTCTGAGGTCTAACCAACTTACCTCAAACGTTGACAGCTCCTTCGAGCTTCATCTTCCCTTTTCAACATCCTATCACACACTGAAACACAGTATCTCATACATAATCTAGCAATCTAATGTAATGTAATCACATTTCGAGCGTTTCTGCACTACATTCGTCATCGTGAATCTCCCAACTTGCGCCCTCAAAGCGAATGCCATCTCACATTATCTTCAGCATCTCGGTCTCAAACTTCTCCCCCTCGCCATCCATAACTCCATGCAGATACGAATCACCGATGAGAACGTACCCCTCACCACGTCTTCTCAACGCATACGGAACTCTGCACCCTGCGAAGAAACCAACACTATCCCCTACCCTGGCTGCAACCGGCACCAACCCAATCAACCCCTGTTCGGTGATGGCAAACTGTCGCCCCCACATCCATGCCATATGGCAAGTCTGAAAGTCTCTTTGCTTGATATGCAGATGGTCTTGCCAGGATTCCCAGGCCTTACTCCAAGCAACGTTGAAACAAATAGCAAAGAGAGGAACAGCGAGCGGTAAAGCGTATCGCAAGAACCAATTCCTGCCCCGGAAGTAGTATGCCATGGTTGGAGATGACGCTGTAGCGACGCCAAGGATCCAGCGCTTAATCCTAACGAACTCGGGGCTCGCTTCTAGAATGATGAGATTGGTGAGAAACGCATGATAGCTGCTTCCATCAGTGGGAGTCTTGAGTCCGTACGTGGATGTGCGATTGCAGCATAGGGTTCGCCAGAACGCATCGTCATGGGACTCGCCAGTAGGTCGGTACATGCTGTCGGCATCAGTGGTGTCTGTTCGTTGCGTTTCTAGTATTGCATCCACGCGCAGGAGCCAGTCGCGATAAGCAGATATGTTTTGTAGGTCGTAGGTTCCGACTGGTTGTGACCCGCCTTCGCGCAAGAACGTCGGAAACGGAGCCGTGTGAGCGATCGTATCGAAAACAGTACCGCGAATACGGAGACACTAGTGAACTGCTTAGTACATAGACAAGCTTGTTTTTGGGGTGCAGCTTACCTCCGGCCCATACTCCTCAGGAAAGCGAAGCTCTGGCTTGCGTTGAATGTGCGGCTCTTTAGAGGGGTATCCACCCATAACAGGCGTGTACGAGCCCTCGAAGTTCTGCGGCTTGAAAACATCTACCACCCAGCTTGGCTCTGCGATTTCGTCGTCCTCTTCACGTGTAATCAATGACAACACATCTAACACATTACCCCAGGTAGGCTTGATCCTGCCTTCCAGAAGCATGAGGTTCAGGTCCCTCATCAGGTCTTCGTAACTTTTGGAGTAGTCCACAAAGCTCTGATTGATGTCGCTTGTGAGGCCAACAAGCGCAAAGACCTTGTCTCGCCGATCCGTCGCATCGAACCAGCGGGTTCTTATGAGAAGCTTCAGGGTACCAATCTCCGCCTTGTCTCGTGCCTTTTTGATCGAGAATAGCACACTCGCGCATAGCAGCTTAAAACTCGCTGACCGGCGCACGTGGACGTCCTCGATGGCCCTTACAGCAGCTAGGGTTTTGTGAACACAATTTGTCATGTCTGACCATCGCGCGATCGCTTCAAGGACTGGAAAATCTTCATTTGCCGTAGTTGGCCCACACCAGATTGACACCTGGCGTGCGAGCAAAACCTCTTGAATACTGCCGAGATGTCAATATGGACTTGATATCATACACAGGTTCCAAAAAGCTTATGTGATACGTACATCCACATACGACTAAACCATGGCCGCAGGAGAAATGCAGCCAATGCATCAAAATGCTGCTGTGTCACTTTAGATAACGATGCATCCCAGTGAAAGGCGACTTCTTCAGCCGACAGATCCAGAGTGTTTTCAGGGTTTGCGCAATGCGCATGGACAGCTTTCAGCAAATTCAGTGCCAGCTCATCTGTCGCTCCTGCGTCTCCCAACCACACGACCACGCATTCTGCTTCAGTGTAAATGTTGTCCATCATGCGGACCTGAGACGTCCGTTCTGAGATGTTGGACTGGTCAATGCATATTGCATCAACCCAAAGAGGTGCTTGAGTTCTCCTGCGGCGGTACTCATGTAAGGCGGAATGGAGGTTTGATGTTACTAAGAGGGGATGCAAGTTACAAGTTATCGAGACGGGGGAATAATTTGCCCCCCAGCAGTATAATAGAGCGTTGTAAGTGATCGGAGTCGTGTCCAGACAAGTTTCCGATAGTTTGCATCGCAGCGGGGCCGATAGCTCGTCAGGCTCTATAGTGAGCAGGCGAACGCTGCGCCCTGTGAGTTCATGTGGATAGATAAGCAGATTTGCCATAGCCAAACATTTGTAGATGCCACGCGAAAGAACTACTGTCTGGTAGAATGCGTGAATAAGAGAACATGTTGTAACGCTGACAGGCAGAATCTAGGCGACATGGCTGGCGGCGCATCGCTCGCTCAGTCATCCAAACCTAGTAGTTCAACGCGAGGTTGCTGCAATGCCAGGACCAGTGACGAGCTAAGACCCGATTGTGCAGACGCGCGTTGCTGATCAGGCCTGTAAGCCCCTTCGATCGACGTAGCGAGCTGAAGACCTCGTATGAAAACGCAGTTTAAACATCATCTCAGTAAGCCCCTCGATGTACACAGCGGGGAGCTGCGTTGGTTGTTGTAGAAGAGAAAAGGTAGAGAGAGATAGCAGGAGCTCCTGTCGGATAGCGAAAGAGCCCTGGAGCGAGAGATCACCGGCGCTAGTCCAGATCTACGCTAGCACAGCCTTGCCTAGCGTCAGACAATCAAGATTACGAGGCCTTCGTTGCGGTCCCCCTTCCATCAAAATCCTCGAGATGTGCGTACGCTATCTTATCTTGTAACGAATTTAATGATGTAGAATACCATGTTCGAGCCTGGAACAAGAAATCTCATACACGTGGACTTCGACATGATCAAGCAATCTTCACGACCAAAGTTTACTTACGCAAAGAACTTCAGGCTTGAGCGGAAGGTCCAGCGAAGCAACACCCTGAAACATATAGCAGATAATTAAGCAACTGTTTCGTCGCAATCAGACTACTCGGCTTTGAGGTGCTTCACTCGCACCAAACCCCCAAAACGCGTATACCATCCGCACCTTGTAGGACAAATCCATTTACACCCGGCTCAATGGTATCACCCGCCACAAAGCTTGCGAATTCATATACTTTACCCATGATATTACCTTTTGTACCACTTCGTGAGCTCCACCAAAACGGCTACAGGAATTGGTACCTCGATACGTACCTATCAGCCACCATAATGCCATGATCAGGCACAGCAAGGGGAATGCGCACCAAATGCTAGTGGTCGTGTGCGGTATCACCGTTTCGTGATTGGGATGATGTGTCACGCAAACTCAGGGGTTTCGTGCAATGTGACGAGGACAAGTGTAGGGTACATAAAGCCGTGACTGAGCTGTACATGTAGGTTTCTCTTTCTTGTTCACCTGTAAACATACCGGCTCCGAGAAGTTACAGCCAGACCCGCAAAACCACGACTTCAAAAACATCCAACACCACTCAACACCATGCGTTTCTCAACCTTCATCCTCCCCGCCCTCGCCGGCTTCGCGCTCGCAGCGGAAACGTAAGTAACTCCCCATACATACACTACCATCCTCCTACCTCATAACTTGACCATACTGTAACATACTAACACCCCAACCCCAGCAACCCTGTCGCCTCCGCATCATCCGCCCTCTCATCCGCCGCCTCATCAATGGCATCCTCCATGTCATCCGAGGCCACAAAGACGGAGGCGAAGACCACCGCTACTGAAGCGAAGTCGACTGACGCGACATCAACGGGCGCAGCTGTTGCTATCAGCGCCGGCGAGGCCGGTGGTGTTGTAGTTGCTGCATTGGGAATTGTTGCTTTGATGCTGTAGGACAGTGCAACTATGGGTGGAGAGGATGCAGAGGGAAGTGTGGTGTCGTATGAAGTGAGCAGCGTGAGTGTACAACAGAAGAAGGATGAGAGATGTGATGAGAAGTTTGAATTAAACAATCATTGATTCATAACCGATGTCTAAGCACCGTGTGCAAATATCTTACAAAACCGTTCCTATTCCAGTCCATGCATATGCTGTCCATATCTTCATGCCTTGCGACTATGCCCTCTTCTGCCATTACTCCTCCTCACTTGTGCTCCAACCTGCACCTATAAGATAGCAATCCTCCTAACCTGCATCACCTGCGCCCTAGGCACAGTCACCTTGAGCGCACCGTCCTTGAAGCTAGCGCCTACATTGGCGACATCGATGCGTTCAGGGAACCTGAAAGTGCGCTCGAAAGATCCGTGGACGCGTTCTTGTTGGGGCTGCTCTTGGGGTTGGGGTTGCTGGACCGGTACCTCGGGCTGTGGCTTGGCTACAACAGCGGTCTCGGTGTTCTTGGGCTCATCGACGGCCTTCTCCTTGCCCTTGGGTTCGCGGGGCTCGGTGGGAGATGATGGTCGCGAAGAAGGGAAGTCGGCGGCGAGGTCTTCGAAGTCGTCTTCGACGGTGGGCTGGTATGACTTATGCGATGAGGTATCGCTGTCGGGTGTAGCGGCGCGAGTTGTAGGTGCCTCCGTCTCAGTGGTGCTCTCGACTTCTGGCTCGGAGTGTGTAGCGGTGGGCTGCTCAATGCTAGCGGCAGGTATGGGCTGGGCTTCGATCTGAGGTAGCTGTGGCTGAGCTTGCGACTTCTCCGACTGCCACTGGGTGTTGCCAGCGATCTTCAGTGTATGCTCATCGATAACCTCAATGTTGATGTTGTCCTGTTCGAAGCCCTGGATGTCTCCATCCACCTGCCATCCCTGCTCGATCTGGTTGACTTGGAAGTCGGCTCGAAGTGCGCGCTTGCGCTGCAGCTGTCGCTGGCGGTAAGCTTCGCGTAGTGCCTCTCGGTGGGCCTCGATCTGCGCCTTGCGCTGAGCCTCGCGTTGTGCCTCGCGGTCGATCTCGCTCAGGAGCTCATCGACCTGGCTGAAGAAGTTGTTGTAGGGCGAGTATTGTGGGCGGCGAGGCTGAGGACGAGAGACGAGATAGCCGTGGGCGGGTCGTGATACCGGGGCGCAGAAGCCGAAGGGGTTGCACTGCTGTGCCTCGTAGGCGGGTGCCATTCGTGGAGTGAGGATGAACGCCATTGCTGGGGTACTTTGTTCGAGGTGCGAAGCTTGCTGGTCGATGAAGAGAATAGTGTAGAGTAGTGAAGCTCAAGAGTAGCTGTAGATAGTAGATCTGTAGATGTGGCTGTCTTTCGAATTGATGATGGGCTCTTGGAGAGCAGGAAGACATGGATTTATAGCCATTATGGAGGCGTCACAGGCAGCAGCCGATTGCGTGCGCGTTGATGAGCAATGCAGATCCCGTAAGATAGAGGACGATGCTGGAACAGTGTGGACGACGCGCGACGATTGTTGATGCTTCGAGGTTTGTCACGAAGACGCGTGAAGCTTCGCGATGTTTCTCGAAGCTTCTACGTCATCCAGCGGCTGAGATGGCTCGTGCCCCGCTTATGTAACCACGCCTGCCCTCACCAGCCTTGCACGTGCTTCTACGACGAGAACACCAATACGATGAACGAACGACCCTGCAGATTTCAGGGTTCATCGCAGAGTAGCAAAAAGAATGAGGTAAGCCACGACCCTGCATTGAAGGGTTCGGTGATGTCCCTCATCATGACAGGGCGAGTAGCTCACATTACCAGTCCACTCGGGGCTTGCATCGTTCCAGGTTTCACGATTCCATGTCGTTGTTTCTCAATACTTCAATTGTAGTTTATCCTAGTCTATATTTATAGGAACTGCTTTCAGATTCTCCATCCGCTCATCTAAGCCTTATACCGAGCAGGCATAGCAGCCTTGAGCAGCTTCGGGAAGTTGGGTGTGCCAAGACCAGAGACCGGGTCCCATCCCGCAGTAGCGTTCCAGCTAGCATACGGAATAACCGGGCTGCCGTTGGGCTTGCCGTTGAAGCGGGCATGGCCATCGCATCCGGTGCTACCACCAAGAACGATGTCGTTGAGCGCATCAGGGTTGGAGTACAGCAGGGGGTTCAAGAAACCAATAGCGGGCTTCTTGGCGCGAAGGCGAGCGTCGTTGAGGAGAGCGACGATGCCACCGAAGGCGGGGGCCGAGCAGGAAGTTCCTTGGTAGCCCTTGAGAGAGCCTTTGTCGTAGACGCGGTAACCTGGGAATGTGTATTAGTCTTTGTCTTACATGCAGTTCGTGTAAGGGATGTTACTTACCGAAACCCTGGGCGGAGACGTCAGGGAATCCACGTCCGTGACGGTTGAAGTAGGGCTTGTTCTTCTGGCCGAGCTGGTGGAAGTAAGCCTTTACGGCATCGTCCTGGTACGAGGGACGCTTCCAGTAGTCAGAGAAACCGCCGGAGGAGAAGAAAGTAGCAGTCTCGTTGAGGTAGCGAGTAGATCCAACGGAGGTGACGAAGGGGCATGCAGCGGGATACTGTTGGGGTACGAAATCAGTATATGTCTCACATACACTTCGTACAGTCAAAACTTACCTGGGGCTGGAACTTGGTCGTGTTCTTGCCGTCGTTGGAAAGGCAGGCTGAGCCGGTACCAGAGTCGCCGGAGGAGAAGATGACGGAAACACCACGGCTACCGAGCTGGGCGAAGAGGTTGCAGACGCTGAGGGCGTATGACTTGGGTACGCTCTGCTCGTTCTCGCCGTAGGAGGTGGAGATGACCTGGGGAAGGTCCTTCTGCTTGAGCTTGAGCACGCTCTGGAGGAACTCGAGGTAGGGCTCGTTGGCGCTGTCGGCCTCATCGGGCTGGTCGAGATCAGCGACCCAGGGGCCACGGCCGCCGGTGCTGTACTCGGTGACGGGCAGGGGCTGGGCAAGACCGAGCATGTACTGCAAGTCCAAGTTGGCCTCGCCACTGTCGTCGCTGGAGTTCTGGTCGTTCAGACCACCGTTGAACTGGACGACGGAGAAGTTCTGGCCAACGGCCTCGGGAAGGACGTTCTTCTCGAAGAGGGCGAGGTCGCTGTAGCGAGCGTACTCCTCGAGGTAGGAAGCGAAAGCTGCCTTGCTGCCGCTCTTGGGGTCGGGAGTGTAGTCGATCTTGTACAACTGCTTCAGGCACTGGGGAGTGATAGAAGCATCACAGTTGACAGTGATGTTGGGGGAAGAAGCGAGCTGGATACCGAAGATCTCACGCTCAGTCTCGTGGTTCGCACGGATGGCGGCGAAGCGAGTGGTCGGCTGAACGAGGTTGATGTGGTCGGCAATCTCGTCAGGCACAGAGTACTCAAGGGTGCGGAGAACCTTGCGGGGTGTGCTCTCCTCGCTAATGAACCAAGAGAACTTTGTTCCGAGGAGCTCGTTGGCAACACCGACGGTGGTCCTGAAGGTCACCCAGTCGGCATCGGTCTCGAACTTCTCGATACCGGCAGACTTGAGCCACGAAGAGACGGAAGAAACAGTCTCCTCGCTGGGCATAAGCATGCGCTTCATCTCCTCGTGCGACTCGTAGTGCTGGCCGTACTTCGGGTTGGACGGGGTGGAGATGTCCATGACGGTCTGCTCGAAACCCGCGGTATCGCCTTGCGTGAGCGCGATCTGGAGCTTGAGCGTGTGTGCATCAGATGCCGGGCCTTGAAGCTTCCATCCTGTTGATCGTTAGCACAGATCCAAACTTGTTACGGCATACAACCCACCCTCTGGAACTTCGAAGAGCTTCTCAAACGGCTCGGCGAAAGCCCTAACAGCCAACAGCGAGCCAACGATGAATGAAAGCACAGGAGCCATCTTTGCCACAACCGGTTTCCTTGAGCGAAGGTAGTCCGAAGCGAATGCGGATGAAGAGACAACGAACAGCGGACTGCATTGTAGTTTTATACCGCACCCACGGTCGACTCCAGTCCCTGCATGATAGTCGTGTTATTACCGACCTACCCCATGGAGTTTAGATTGCGATTGTCACTCATGTCGTGGTGCGCATACGCGATGCGTTGAATGGAACCGACAGTGTCCAAGCAAGGGGCTAAGAAAGACAAGCCTCGGACTGGGGCTCTTGACAAGGCTTGTGTGCCGGATAACCTCCTTCTTGTTTTGGCCGTGGCGTTGCGATAACATGACCGACGACCCCACATGGGTGGTTGTGACAGGTTGTGACGTGTGGATCTTGTTCTGTGCGCGCTCGTTAGCACCGGGCTAGGGCCGCCCACTTGGGTTGGCGTTATAACCGGACCACTGCCTCGGCCACAGTTCATGCAAGGCACATACGAGCACCTTCCGGTAACAATGTAGTATTGGTCTCTAGAGCATGTCACCTGCATTCGAGATCTTCCTAGATCGTTTGGTAATTACAAGCAATCTGGGTTTCTATGATCTTCGCCGCCACCTGCATCCTGGAAGGAACCGTAGCTGAGATCGTCGCAAATGAGAGAAGTCCCAAGTATAATATACTGAGATCGTCGCAAATATCGGGCGGATAAACACTAGACTAATATTGCGAACGGCCTGCCTATGAGGACCGAACTCCCTGGGACATATATCAAGATATTAGTTGTTGCCTTTTATTGACTCTATCGTTACTTCTAGAGACTTGCTATTCTAAAGCCTCTAGCACATTGTACCGATGTGTATGCTGCCGATAAGCCACATGTGTGAGAAATAGCTTTGTTCCTAAAGCTTCGCGAGACGCATAGCATTCTCGTACCTGATTCTTAGTGTCCTCTACTTATAGCTTAGCTCGTGATTGTTCTAGCAGAGCTCGAAGCCGTTTGCGCGGAACCACTCGATACGAGTAGCTTCGAGTTCGAGTATAGCCTCCACTTGCTCCTGAGAGTAGTTAAGAAGGACCCTCTCGAGTGCTGCTACAGTGATCTTAAGGTAGGGATATCTGCTTGAACGTCTTTGCCCACCGATAGTTCGCCTTAGTGTCTCTCGCAGTCTATCTAGCATGTGTTTATTCGGCTTAGAGTTTATTGTCAGTTTATAATGTAGATATGACAGCTTCTTGTTAATAAGCTCATGCCGTCGTTTTTCGATCTTATCTATCGCGAGTTAGAATACTACAAGTGTCTTAGAGCTACATCGCTAACTTACCTGACAAAGATTGGGGTATAGGAAGTCCTAAGGTGCGTAGTTTGCTTTCGTTGCAGTAAAAAGTCATTATCTTAACAAGGAGAGCGATACAATCTTTGCTCCCAAAGAGATAGAAAACCTAAAGCAGCAGTATCAACTCGCGGCAGTATTCACCCTCTATTCTATCACTATAGATTTCGTTTATCCAGACTGCAGTGAAGAATTCCACCGCACTGGCGCAGTCGTAATAGTCGACGAGGATTCCTACCTTCGCTATTAGTTCGAGGCTTACGGACTTCTGGATCTGAGGGCTGCGCAAGTGTAGCATGTTTATGAAGAGGAGGAATGCTTTCTCCTCCTAATCGTCTGCTGTGATATGGTAACGACCGTTAGCCTGCTTGCATCCCTTACTCTAGGTACTAGGTGAGAGCGCTGCTTTGAAGACCGGTGACGCCAGTTCGAGATGGCGTGACGAGACAAGATAAAGGACAGATCCCTCAGGAACATTAAGGATTACCCAATCCGACTCCTTCGTGATGAATGCCCTCGCAGGCGGCTGGTGAACTTCGATATCGTCCGAGATCGACATCTTTGTGTCCCATTCTTTCATGCTGAAAGGGAGTTGATCAAGTATGTCAAGGTTGTCGAACGGTGAATCATCCCACCAAGCGAAGTATTCACCATCACCCGGTGATCGTAAGATTATGACTGTATCCGCGTCTGGGTCGATCTCATGTACAACTGGAGCCATACTCGGATGTTGTGGGTGAATTAGGTTGAGTGGTAGTGATTTGATGTTAAGCAGGAAGATCCGGCCGTATGACCCTTTAAGCCACTGTGCATACGATTAGTGAAGTCGCCCAGTGTTTTTGCACTTCTTTCGATGAAACGCAAATGCACGGACAATTGCAAATGGTTATTAACGGGTGAATGGAAAATGTAGTAGTGCTGGGAATCTACTGCCCACCGAGACGCTTCAATACACATCGAGGATGCATTGTCGCTTTCATCAATGCCAATCTTGCTCTACACGTGGTCGCGATAACGCCAGGTAGAACTTGCGCTGTCGCGAAGTAGAGGTGTAGCATACTGATCGCGTGGGAAAGGGTCACGGCGCGTGAGAGGCGCGAACCGCATGACGACACAGACGCCACTAAGAGCGCTCGCTTCCGTCATCGTATCGTATTGCGCGTAGTATCGTGTAGTCAGTCTCAAAAAGCAACGCGATGCTCGAATCAATGAGGGAGGTGTTGGAGGCTGCGTGGTGTTTTGGAGCTTGAGGCGCGATCCAACTAATTGGAGCTTCGTCCAAATCAGCACTAGCGTGAAGCGCGTCCCCGATTTCGCCGCTGCGTGAGCAGCCCATTTGCTCCTTTCTTCCTTGACACTCCCCATGCTGTTCACATCACCGTGCACGCCATTGCTACGACGAGCTGGGCTACAGCTAGACCAGCGCCTATGGCTCCTATCCTCGTCGCCCCTCGTCCATGCGCCGCCGTGTATCGTTTATTCAGTCTTTGGCCCATTTGATACGTAAGCGCGTCGCGTTCTTTCTCCAGCTGTTCTAACCTGAGCGACATGTAGCTTTGCGAGGTTTGCAGTGTATTTGCTGAAGAATATCCTGCACTTGAGGCTTCGTAGCCGTCATCGGTTGAAGGTGTTTGGGCAGTACTTCTAGCTTCCTGCTGGCTGCGCTCGATCTCCAATTGCCGCTCGATACGTTGCGCGCTCGACATAATTGTTTTATCATCTCGTGCAAGATTCTTGTCCCATACCATCCGGATGTCGCGGAGGTTTACTTTCGTACGCTCCATGTCTTCGTCCACGGACCGCATATTCGCATCCATCTCGATAATGGCATCTTCAAGCTCGTGCAACTCGTCTCTCCGGGAATTATGAGCCATCTTGGCTAATCTTCCACGCGCATCGTCTATCTTGGCTTGTAATGTCTCGAACGATTCTGTCAGATCCTCAAACAAGACTTGACCGGCCCGCGTCTCATGGATAAGCCGATTCTCATCTACCAACTCTCGCTGGAACGCCAGTGTTAGCCTCCTGCCTTTCCCCACGATGTGTTGAAGTATTTTTCCTGCATCTATCTCTACAGCTGATAGCCTGACTAGTTTACCGCCGTGCTGTATAACATCCTGGATCTTCTCGCGGAGTTCCTCGTGTCGCAGGTCAGCTCTTACGAGCTCGTCTTGGGTAGCTCTATCCCACATGGTAGTTGCCACTACCACTCCAGAGAATGCTTCTTCTCCGCACATGCTCTTGAAGGCACTCAGCGCTCGCACAGCAGAGCCCTGTAGGCGGTTGTTCGTGATGCAATGGAGGTAAATGATTCCGCTGAGTCTGATCTTTCTTTCGTAAGCGGCTGCTAACCAGTATGCCAGTTCCTGTAATGTTTCTCCATCAGATCGCCGACTATCGTTGAAGCCAGGCGTGTCTATGAGATGGACAGTCTTTCCGAGTACGCTAGTGGTGTGTATCGATACCTGGCTCGTACCTGTTTGTTGGAATCAACGACCGGTTAGACTTCAGGGCCGCCGAGAAGCCTACATGATGAGAGTCCATGCCCGGAAAGACGTTCTAAAGAATTGGTACAATGCTCGATGAAGGTGGATTTGCCAGCACCAGTCATGCCCATGACTGCGATGAAAAGGTCATCGGGGCTGCCAGGCCCAGTCAGTTCTGCGTCAGTAGAACCAAGATTTACCTACTCAACTGGTTTCGAGCCTTCAAGATTCACGGTCTCCATTGTGGAACGATGGGTGACTGTACTAAGTCGCAAATCAGTATGTACAGTTGGGTCTGGGTATTGTCCAGTGATCACGTTGCTATAGCCCTGCTACTCCGCAGCAGCTCTGGGTGCGGCTAAAGGCAATCCTGCGGCAAGGTTGTACAGCCCACCTTCCCGCCGCATGGAAACCACCAATCAGCAACGCACACGTCAAAGCTACCGCAACCGCTGTGCTGCAGGCAATTTCCAATCACTCCTCTGCGCCCAGGTACGGTCCGTGCGCGACTCCGCCTGCAGGCCGCAGAATAGCGCCAGCTAAGGTCAGCATCCCAGCTGGAGTGTGCAGCACTGTAGCCTGCCCTTCTTGGCAGCTTTGGATGCGCTTGCATCTGCTGTCATCGCATTGCCTCATTGTAACGCGACGTCCTATTACGAAAACCGTTTCAGTGTGATGTGCGCAGTATGAGCGCTTTCAACATCCCGCCGACCAGAAGGGGAACTCACGATGCGCTGGAGCCGATCCGCTCACATGGAAGTTCCTCCAACACATTTCCCCCTACAGCTCTTACAGTTACGCGGTTCAACCAAAATGCGACGTCTTCTCGGTATGAACTGAGCATTCGTCCGGTTTCGTTGTCTGATTTGTCGCTAGAGCGATTGGCATTCTCGTTATGGGCCTCACTGGCGCTGGCAAAAGCACATTCATCTCGCAAGTCACACAGAAGAGTGCAGATATCGGGCATTCGCTAGAGTCATGTATGTTCGTCTTGAATGATGGGAACATCGACCTAATCATTTTAAGGTACCACCGATGTCGTGTTTCAGACATTGCAGCGAAAAAACGGCCAAACAGTATATCTCATCGACACGCCAGGCTTCGATGATACCCATCTGGAATATGCAGCAGTCTTTCGAAAGATTGCTTCATTCATCTGCACCTACTGCGATGGCTATGGACACAGTATCCCAATCGGAGGAATGATCTATGTTCAGCGAATAACAGACATGAGAATGTCGGGATCTTCACTAAAAAGCCTTCGGATATTCGAGAAGATTTGCGGCGAGCGACATTTCCAGGATGTTGTGGTTGTGACGACCATGTGGAACTCGCTTAAGACCAAGGAAGCGCAAGATGCCGCAATGATGCGTGAGAAAATGATGGGAGAAAGACCTGAGTTCTTTGGAAACATGATGAGAAATGGAGCTAGAATGGAGCGATACCAAGGCGATACTTATAGCGGCATCCGGATCGTCGAACTATTAGCAGACAGACGGGGAACGATCACTCTGCAATTGCAGCGCGAGATGGGACGAGACGTAGCAACGAAACTCGAAGACACGACAGCAGGAAGATATATCGACGGTGAATTGGCCAATGCACGCGAAAAGTACGAAACGCAAAAACGAGAGCTAGAAGAGTGTGCAGAAGACACCGGGGATGATGATGACCTCAAAAGCGAATACGTCGAACAAGCTGAAGACTGCACTCGTATGGTCAAGAATATCACAGCCGATCAAGAAAGCCTTTCCGTCACACTTGAAGACATGCGGAACGAACAGGTGGCATGGTGTAGCAAAGGTCACGACGACCATGCGGAGGATGCTATGCATGAGAACACCTCCACGCGCATCTTCGAGCTCGAGCACAAGGTCCAAGACCTGGAAAGAGTAATTCAAGAGCAGCGCGTGGAAAGTCTCAATGCACAACGTGAAGGGATTGAGAAGATAGAAGCGGGCAAGCAGGACATAGACCAGGCAAAAGAACGCGACCAGATTGCGCGGGATAAAGCAAAGCAGAAGCGAGCACCTCCAAGTGAGGTTATCGTGTGGATGCGAGACTTTTTTGCTGGAAGACGCACTACAGAATATGCACCACCACCACGTCGAGCCGACTCCATGCCCATAGAGACAAAGCCCACCAAGAAGACTGATAACCAAGTCTGGAAAATTGGAAGTCGACCTAAAGGCCGCCATAGTGGAAGGCCGAATATCAAGCGCACATCCTCTGACGATCACCCGAGAGAGCCCTACGCTGATTCGCAGTACCTTCAGTATCAACAGACCTGCGAGCCTGAGTATCTTAGCGATGCAGAAAGCGGATTGGAGAGCGAGAGGGAGGGCTCAGCGCCTCCGATGTATACGCCGCATAATCCTCATTCGTATACACCCGTAGCCCCGTACGTGCACCACAGTCGCTATCACGTCTCGCCTCACGATGTGTCCAGCGATCCTACTGGGATGATACGTGTTCCACCACCACAACCTCAGCCCCTGATGCGAAGAATCCCACATTCTGTTGGTCCGCCATATGGCCAGCATCTTCTCAGAGCTCCTTCACATAACAGTGGCTCGACTGGCGATCCCAATTACCGTGGATAGAGTAGACAGGTCGGATCCAAATCCGATTAAGTTCTCTTAAGTATTCATCTATCTACGGCGGGTATCCTTCCACTCCGTAGCGCACTTGGTAATGAGAGATGTATCGTGTACTTGTCACTAGGCTTGCAATGACGTACGGTCTTCATCGCTGCATCCGCGTGAACTTTCGGACATCCAAAATCGCTCATATCTAGATACTATCAAGTGTGGCACAGTCTATACCAGCTCAGCGCGTGGCTGCATAAACCTTCAGTAAAACAAGCTGTGTCATGACAATTGGGCTGCATGCACTGCCCCGCGATGAGATGCGCGCAAGTCAAAACGTGGGGGCACCGCGGAGCTGAGAACTATCCGGTGAACCGCAAGGGACGGCTGCGCGATAACCGCAATATGGGTACTCTACGATGGAGGGGCAGGTACGACGTTGGTTCGTCGTTCGCTAGCCTATTAGCCGCCGTGGTGCGTTGTCACCACATCACTAAGCCGGGGGCTTGCATACAAAGGCAACGCCGTACATCGAGGCGCAAGGCTGGCCCTAGCTTCCTGTGAGGCTATGCATGAACCTGTAGTTCCCATCCCAGGATAGTTCCTTACAAAGCGGTTGCCTTGTCGCCTTGTCGGCTATGCTACAGCATCCACTCCAGGAATGAGAAGCTTCCATCGCTCAGCTTGAGTTACTAGAAAACAACATATCCTTTGCCCTCCATCCGTAGTTGCGAAGAATTGACCACAAGTATGACGAATAGAGTGGATAGCCCTCATCGCGAGGTACCTCATCTGCCAGAATTGACGTACGAGCCTATCAACCTTCTGGTGGCTATCTACTGACTTCATTGCGAAGACCCGACGACATAATTATTGCAGTGATGGGCATTACTGGCTGCGGAAAAACTACTTTCGTGAACCTCTTCTCTGATCGCAAGCTCGAGGTCGGGCATGGACTAGATTCATGTGAGGGCCATCGTCCGCTCCCTGCACATCACGGACTAAGCAATGTTTAGGCACAGTATCAGTCCAAGTCGTACCTTGTACGTTCGAAGATGGCACGAAGGTCTATCTCGTCGACACCCCCGGCTTTGACGACACTTATCGGTCCGACTCCGAAATCCTGCGTGAAGTCGCGCTTTGGCTGAATAAGGCGCACACAGAAAAGCTGCGACTAGCTGGCATCATCTTCCTCCAACGAATCTCAGATGTTCGAGTAGGCGGTAGCGGAATCAAGAACATCAAAATGTTCCAAAAGCTGTGTGGTGACGGCCCGCTGTCGAGCGTGGTACTAGCGACGACAATGTGGGACATGGCCTCACCCAATGCTGCAATCGACCGCGAGAGAGAACTAAAAGAACAACCACAGCTATGGAAACGAATGATAGACCACGGGAGTTGCGTCTTCCGCCACGACAAAGGAAAGTCGTCAGCGCTCAAAATCATCAAGTACCTGATGAAGCGCAAAAAGCCCGTAACACTCGACATACAGCGCGAAATGGTCGACCAAAACCTCGAACTAGTCGACACAGGCGCTGGAGGAGCCCTAGCATCATCCGTAGAGACACTCATCAAGCACTACGAAAAGAAGCTGAAAGAGCTGGAACAAGACCTCAAAGAGGCCCGCGCCCAAAGCAACAAAGAAGACCGCGAGATTTTGGAAGCAGCGCAGAAACAATACCAAGACAATCTCGCGAAGCAACAGCAGGAAATGCAGAATTTACAGGTTAGTGCGGCGCAGCTGATAGAGGATACTAAGAAGCGGTTTGAAGAGAGCGAGGTATCGGCTAGGGAGAATATGCTACGAGCTCAGGCGAATCATGCGGCGGAGCTGGAGAAGCAGAGGGTGGTGTTGCAGAGACAGTTTAAGGAGAAGTATTTGCAGATGATGCATGAGCGGGCGTGTAATGTAATGTAGCGGAAGATAATGTAATAGCGATTCTACGTAACATTAGTGTCTTGGGACGCGTGCGTCAATGACGTTCTCAGTATTTGATGTCGGAACCATGTTCGATGTGCAGTCATACAACATGAATGACTCGAGGCGCGTCCCTGAACGCGTCTTGCCTATCGTGTGGGAATAAACCGGGACGCGTAGCCAAAGCGAAGTCAGCCCTCGCTGAAACAGACGCCTTCGCCTGGGGGCAAAAATGACGTGGAAAGGGTCGTACCACGCAGAATGATGCGGTGTTCACTCAGGAAAGAAGTGGTGGGATGAGATGGACGCAATGTTCTAGTCCAACGCGTGTTGGATGCGCGTTATTAGACTAAAGTAGTAGGTACAAAGTAAGTGTATTTATTAAAGTAAGTATTAAATAATAAAGTAGAGATACCTAATTTATAATACTATAAGTTTTATAAAAAGTTTAGTTATATTTTAATAAACGCGTACTTATTTATAAGAGCTTAATAAACTTCTTAAAAAAAAACTTAGTAGTTTATTAGTATTCTATAGTAGTCTAAATTATAACTATAGACTTATAGATAAATAAAGTTATCTAAACTTAAAACTTAATTTAGAAGTTACTAAACTTTACTCTAGAAATCTAGTTTAGGCTTAAAAAGTAGTAGCTTTTTAGTAGAGATAGAATAGTTTATAGAAATAAAATAAGTATTAAAAAGCTTTATAAGTAATAGTACTTAGTTTTTAAACTATTTATTTTTTTTTTTTTTTTATTTAACTTATATAAGACGCGCTACTTATTTATAAAGCTAAGATTATTAGATAGAATAATAAGAATAGAACTATAAGTCTTACTATCTTCTAATCTAAAAAAGTTAAAAAGTAATAAATAATTATAAGAGCTTATATTAAGTTATTAGAATTTAGTTACTATAAGTAAAGAACTATATAAAGTTCTTTTCTAGTTCTTAGTATATATAATAATAAAAATACTTAGAGTACTTTAAGATAACTATATTATAGTATAAAAGATAACTTACTTTATAAAATAAGCTTATTACTACTTAAAAGTCTATCTAAAATAATAGTAAAGAAAGTCTACTAGTAGATTAGAGCGTAAGAGAATAATAATAAGTTTTAATTAATATACTATATACTAGACTATAATAGTATAAAAGAGTTTTCTATAAAAGCTTTTAATATAGTTAATTAGTAACTAATAGTTCTATAATAGAGCTTATATTAGAAGATTAGATAAGTTCTAAACTAGTTAATAAAAAATTCTACTAAATCTACGTACTTATAGAGTCTCTTATATAATATTATAAACTTACTAAATCTAGTTATTAGTAGAATCTATATAAAGCTAGTATAGCTAGAACTTAGCTTTATTAAAGTCTACTTTCTTTACCTTAGTTATATAAAACTTATTAGAAATCTTATACTTTAAAAGAAAGAAGAAGTATATTTATAAGCTATGTTAGTCTTAGTAGTTAAACTAGTAAAAAAGATAGTTAAAACTAGTTACTTTAAATAATAGTTAAATAAAGTATATAGAGATATACTATTTATATTCTATAAAGTAGTATTAAAGACTACTCTTACTATTACTACGCGTAATAGCTACTTTAGTTAATAGAGTTCTTAGTAATCTATATATAGTATTAATCTTATACTATATAAAAACTTAGTAGTAAGATAGTAACTTAAGTATATCTACTAGAGTATTTATTATATAAGTAGCTACTTATAAATCTAGTACTAGAAACTTAAAGTTTATAAGTTAAGATTATAAACTAATAAGCTTAAAAGTTATATTAAGATTTACTATATAGATAGTTTTCTAAATCTCTATAATACTCTTAAATAAAAAGTAATACTATAATTCTTCTACTAGTACTAAGTATTTATTATTATACTTAATATATAGCTTCTATCTAGAGAAGTAAGTACTAGTTTATAAATTAATAAAATTATCTAAACTCTAGGCGTAGTATTATATTCTTATAAGCGCCTCTAGAAAAAGAGTAATTAGTATTTAATAAAGACTATTATATAAACTAAGAGATTTATAAGCTAATAGTTAAAGAAAGAATTATTAAGAGAAGTTAATAGAAATTTTACGCCTATTATTCTTAATATAGCTAATAATATTAAACTAGTTTAGAAAAACCTTTATATAACTAGAATCTATAACGCATATAGTAATATAGAACTCTACTTTAGCTTTTTATTTTATAGTAGTAATATATAATTAATCTTCTATATAGTTTAAAGTGCTACTCTTTATATTAAAAAGAACTAATATATAACACTAATACTAAGTTAAGTTATAAAATATCTAAACTTACTTATAGATTTACTAAAAGCGCTTTATATAGTTACTAAATAGAGAGTTATTATTAATAGTAGTATAAAGTACGCTATTAGCTAAAGTAAACTTAAATAAGCGTAGTATAAATAAATAGACTAGAAGAAATATAAATACGTTAGCTTTAAAGTGCGTACTATAGTTATATTTAATAAAGAAGTTAATATTAGCTAAAAAACTATTATAGTTACTATTAAAGAGTATAGCGTAGTAGTTAGAAAAAAAATAAAGTAAGAGAAAAAAAGCGTTAAAGGCGTGTAGTAAAGGTTTACTCTACTAGGTAAATATTACGCTACGTTTACGTTATATAATCTAAGAATTTACTAGAAAAATAATTAGATTATATAACTATTTATAATTAAATTATATCTATATAGTTAAATATAACGTAAAGCTACACTATTATATAAAAATACTATAAAAACTACTAATAGCGCGTATAACTTTAGTAATCTATTCTTTACTACTAATAAGTTTCTAGTATAATAAAATAGGTAGATATATATTTTATATATTTTAATAGTAGCGCTTATAAGTAGAGGCACTTTAAGTAATACTATAACTACTTTACTACTTTCTTATTATATAGCCTAGCTATATTATAGTTATAGAACTTAGCTACTAAATAGAGTTAGTATATATAGTAAGATAATTCTTATAAGCGTATTAATTATAGTATATTATAGATATAATAATTTTAAAGCTAAGCTTATTCTTCTTACTAATTTAAAGTTATATAGATAATATAACCTAAACTAGTATATTATAGCTCTAGATATATAAGTCTCTATATATATAAGAGAAAATATATATACTTTCTAAATAGATGTTTTATAGATAGAGTTAGCGTTTTTAAAGATTAAAAAATAAAAGAAAGTAGTAAAGCGTAATCTAGCTAGATTTTAGAAGCTAGTAGTTATTTAAGCGTAATAAACTAAATAATAAGTACTAGTAACTAAGTAGCGTAGTAAATAATAATAAGATAATTTAGTAGTAAATAATAGTAGAGCTAAATATAAAGATATAGCTTTTAGATATAATATAGCGTATATTTAACTATAATAGTATAGTTAAATATAAAGTCTAATTTAAAGAAAGTAATTCTATAAAAGCTTATATTAACTAATATCTAGTTAATATTAAAAGTAGCAAAAGATACACTAAAGATAGAACTATTAAAATTAGTAGCTTTTTAATAAATAGTATAAGTATAACTATTTTATAGCGTAGTAAGATATAAATATTAGTTTCTATATATATAGTTAAGATAGTTAGTAAGCTAAGTCTATTATATATACTATAAGACCTATCTTAATATTTATAGTACTATTAGTTCTTTACTAGATAGTACTACTTATAAGTCTTAATTAATATAGCTTCTAAGTTAAGACTATATAAGTAAAGAATTATATTCTAGCGCTAATTTCTACTCTAGAGAGAAAGAATGTAAAAGAAAGTTTTATAGTGTATTATATATTATACTTAAAGAATTCTAAAATAAATAGTAACTTTTAGTAATATAATTATATAAGTTCTTAAAGCTAATATAGAAGAACTATATAAATTAAGAATCTACTTTATATCTCTTCTATACGCCTTAAATCTAGTCTAACTTTTACTTTAAATCTAAGCTCTTTTATAAACGTTTTAGCTAACTAATAATATCTATAAAATTACTAATATAGCTAAAGTAGAGTAGATTTAATTATAGTAGAATATAAAAAGTATATAGTATAGAAAAGAGTAGGTAGTAGGCGTCTAATATAACTTATATAGAGTATAAAAGTATAGACTCTAGAGAAGAGTTAAGTTAAAAATTAGTAGTTATATAATATATTTAATAAAAGCTTTTAAAGTAGTTAGTCTATTCTTACTAGCTCTATATATAGCGTATAAAAACTATAGATAGTATAACTAATCTATAAAGAAGTAAGTAAAATACTTATTATATCTAAAAATAAAAATACTAAAGGTCTTCTAGTCTAGAACTATAGCTTTTAGGCTTAAAGGTCTAGTAACTCTAGCTATAATAGCTTAGTAAGAATATAAAGAATTCTTACCTCTATAATACTATAAGTTTATTTAAAGCTAGAATATCTATCTTATTAGATAGTAGAAGGTAGTTATTTATTTTATTATAAGTTTTATTACGTACCTCTAGCGTAATATAAGTACTAAAAAAATAAGTTAAAAAGTAATAATTAAATATAAAAATATTATAAAGTTATAGCTATACTTTTAGCTTTAGAGCTAATCTACCTTATTTAGAGATTTTAGTATTACTAGTAGTTAAAGTTAAGTCTTCTATATTAAGTTTATATAGTAAGTAAAGTATAGTAATATAGCTCTATATTATACGTAGTATAATAAGGCGTAGCTATAAAAATATATAGTAAATTATATTAGGCGCTAGTTTAGTAGAGGTCTTACGCGCTTACGCGCTAAAATACTTAGACACTTAGACTTCTAGGCCTACTTTAGCTTACTTTTAGAGCTACTAGTTTTTTTCTATACTTACTAAAAGCTTATAATAGTTTAACTTAAAAAATAGCCTAGATATAAAGCGCTTTAAGTAATATAGTAGCTCTATATAATTTTAATAATAGCACACTTATATAGCTATATTAAAAGTTATATAATACTA